CGGATCTAAGGACAAGAAAAACAGTAAGCGCGGTCTTAAGTATTACAATTTAAATAAGTTATTTACAGGAAAAATATATAAAAAGTATGCTTGAACGAATCTTAGTATGACATACCTTTGTGAATGTGAAAGTAAAAACGCTTTTGAGTTTCTACCTGTCTATGACTAACTGACAGGTAGGACTCCCCGGAGCCTGCACAGTTGATCTGTAATCATGACGTCTAACCCCGATACTAGTTCTCGTCTTTGTGGAGGTAACGTATGAGAACGACATTTCGTGCAAACTTCACATCTATATGTGATATACATGTAAATATTTATTAGTTTATCCACTCGATTACTTACTTTATTTTGAAAACGCACCGTGTGCTTTTTCTTTTTGATTTGATATCAAATATATGCTCGATGGAGTAAGCCGTTGTCTTAAAACACAACTACATCAAAAGAAAACGGTTCCACATGATTCTGTTCTCATTTCTGTCCTTTCAGAATCTATTGTGAAGTTCATGTAAATATATACTCGTCCACTGTTCGTTTTATACATCAATAAACCGCGTTATCAATAGCACATCTCATTTAATTTCTAAAAAAAGTTTCTTCGTATGAATTATGTTAAGACAACGGAAATTAATATTTTATTAAGAGACAACGATCATTTTGTTGACGATGGGTCTTTTGTGTGGCCATATAGCACACGTGTACATCGCCTTCACATGGCTTTGTCATTGCTATGAAAGCCACTGCCTGGTCGCTGACGTCAGCATTATGACATCCCCCTATTACGTCATTATGACGTCACAATGGTAACGTGAGCTATTCATGAAACTTGTCAGCTTTATATATTATAAAACACATACATGTACAGTATAGGCTTGAAGTGTTTTATGAAAGAAGTCACACGCTTAGGCATTCTCAACGAAACACTATGTGTTAGTTTAAACATATTTTATTGTACAAAGGTACAAATGGATTGGACAACAAGTTATTTCAACTCAATAAAGTCCTCTTCTCAAAACATTTTGGGAAAATAATGAATATATGTGTTTATGGGGAACGGGAGAAGGATAGGATGGAGAAAGAAGGGGTGGGGGTTGGGGAGAGTTTTACCTAGTAAGGAAATCGTGTAAACTGTGAAATCGATATGCATTTGAATTAATTATACTTGATTATACAAATTCCACGACAAGCAGCCTGGTGGAGTAATTTCAAAATGAACAGAATATATGGTACAAGGAAGTCAGGCAAAATAATGAGATGCAATTTCATAAACACATATAACAATGTACACACCTATGAACAAATCAGGGAAAATATTTAAAGTTATCAAATCCTATGGCTGGATTTGATGTAACGTTGCAAATGTTTGCATTCAGTTCTACCGAAAGTTAAGTATGACCAAATAAAAGTATTTTTTAATTGAAATTAACATTCAAGGCATTCAAATTTTGGAACAGTATGCGTCTCTCGTTGTTATTTAGTAAGCACAAAAATAATGAAAGGCATTTTCACAGGGATGGCCACAATAACATATGTTTTATCAGTTTCAAGGTGGTAAGGAGACGGGAACGTCTAACATAGACCGAACCCAGGTACGGTTTTAACAAACATGATGTAGAAGATGAGATGCATTTTATGCTACTTTGTTCTGCTTATTCCGAGCTAAGAAATACATGTTTAAAACAGTATTATTATCGACCTCCAAGTGTTTATAAGTTAATTGAATAATCCCCTGTATAAGTGTAAAAACTTTGAGTAAACTAGGTTAATATTGATTCCATGCAACCTCCAATAGAAAAGCCCTTGTGGGGCAGTAACACTTATAAAAGGAATTATCCTCAGCCATCTAGTGTATTGTACTTTTTTTATGAATCACGTGTTATTGTATAACCTATATGCTATATTGCATTCGGTAAAAAAAAATGAACTTGAACTTGAGGTAGTTCAGGTTCGAGAAAACGGTTTTTTCCTGATGACGTAATCAATATCATGACGTACACTTTGCTAGCATGACATCAATTCATGAACCAATTTAATGACATATCAACAAAATTAAAATTTATTTTACTCTAAAACATCGTCGTACTTGAAGTTTTCAGATAGGTGTTGAACTTATTCCAAGTCAGGTTTTTTGTTATATAAATGTATAACGTTAAGTTGAAAGACATTCTCTACTACATTATCCAGTAGGATAAACAACACGAATACAAAAATTGAATTTCCCAGCGACATAGGCACTGACCCATGTTTATTTACAATCATCATGATTAATAAACACAAATACACAATAATGAACATCTCACACACAAACCTATTATTCTCAATATAATAAGCCCATTTAAAAAATTAAAAAATACACGTGTGCTTCTTGTAACCTGTGTCGCCTGAATGGCACGTATAGGTAACAACCCAGCCCATTGGCACGTGCAAATACCACCAATAGCGCCACCTATTGGCGTTCTCATACCAAAGAGAAAACAATTACATCCTAATTTCTACCGTCAACCGGTTGAAATTATATTTATGTATGTACATACAAATTTATAAAATATGCACCGCCATGTGTTAAGGTGGCAGATGCTCCCCGAGTTGCATGTCATTATGAGCGCGCGATTAGCATTAACCAGAAGTTAAACATGCCAATAGAAAGATATATCCGATATCACAGTAGTTATCACTCCCGCTCAAATGCTTCTGCTCTTTGACCTCCGCATATACAAATCTCTCTCACGGATACGCTTGTAGATCAAGCGCCCTTCGGACCATGACTGTGTTATTGGAAGATAATGGAGATAATTGTTGCGACTGTTCTGGAGGTAGCCATGTACATACATACACACATATATATATAAACGGGCACATCAGATAACTATTCATATATATATATCTATATATATACTATATCAGATAACTTTTAGTTTATATATATATACTCGGGAACATCATCCTTCCATCCCACGTCATTATAAGTTCATGAAAGCATTGTCAACTTAAATTTCTTATTATAACAGCATTCCGTGCTTAGATGTACGCAACAAAATAACACCGTAACGAAATCATGGCACAATGTTCCCGTGTAGCATCGTTTAAAAGCTATTAAATTCATAAAAAAGTTGATGGATTGAATATGAACCATTGTTGACGAGATCCAAAATTGTTTTCTTGACTAATTCGAGAATTATTTTTAAAAATGGTTTTCAATGTATTATACTTCCTGTCAGGTAAGCCAAGCTTTTACTACATGAAGTTGAAAAAGCAGGTAAGACATTTACATTACTGTGAAATTAATTCATATCATCTAACGTAGATGTCACACTATCATGATCTATTACGTTATATTAGTGTTTTACGTTATAAAGCTGACCATTCTTTCTCTTTATGACATGGCCGGTGGTACTTCAATGGTTTCCCCGTGCTCCAATCTATGGACCGTACGGCCCAGCGTCCGAGTACAGCCCGAAACAGGTGCACGTGCTTGTCAGTATCACGCGCGCGCTTATTACCGACAAATTAGCATACGTCCTCACATTCTGTACTAAGTGGCTGTCAGACTACCTTTGATCTGGTCCATAGCCCTAGATCCTAAAGTAGGAAGAGGATTATTTATTCAACTTCGTTCATTTACAGGATTAAGTTTAAATATACATTGGATTACGTCTGCATCGCAACGGTAAGACACCTCATCATTCAAACAAATATAGCCTTATATGGATTTAATTTCGAACAAAACATTCTAAAATTTAAGTTATTAAAGTCGATAACTTATTTTAACTATTTTATGACTATGTGAGTGAAGGAAGTTTTTTGTTCCGTGGAAATCATCTGTGTGTTTCGATAATTGAATCAACATTGCGTATGACGGATTGACGCATGGCACTGTGTCTACGGATAAAGGAATATACGATTGGATTATCAACATATGTGATGTTCTTAGACACAGGATTATTGATTATCTCTCAAAATATTTCTGGAGAGTTAAGTCTCAGCTGTGACTTTCCACACTCAGAATTACTTGGTAGCTAATTGACCAGATGTTCGTAGATTGTAAGATATCAAACCTCAATTATATGTTGTTTTGATCGAGAGAGATTATGAAACACTTATCCACATGAATTTATCATTAAACCAATATCTACAACCTGCAAACGAATATCATATATTCTAAACCGGAGCCCGATCAGGTGTACTTGATCCGGAACGAAACGCTTGTATCCGCTTTCTACTTTAGTTAACTGTATCCGGTGAAGTACGGCTACTGCAGCCGCCGCACTTCCTAAATTTATAAAACAAATTCGAGAAGAAATGAATTACTTCTGATAAGTCTAAACGTCACGTGATAATTGAGTGTTTTACTTAGCGACTCACGGGCTATATAAATCTAAAATAGATATTCGGGTGTATCGACGCGTTTGTGAGTTACCTATGATGCAATAACTACGCTGTAGCGGAAACATTATTTGGTTTTGCCTCATAAACCATCGAAGCCAGATGGAATATATTTTCAAATATCTACGGTTTTGAGCAGATTAACTTGTGGTTTTAATACCGTGCATATATTGTTGTTTGGCAATAAACATAAAAACGGCAGCGATTGTGTCAAGTCGTAGTTAATCCGCGGTCATATAGGTACAGAAATTTACATCTCTGGTGTGAAGTATTTTGCTATGTCAACAACCATTGTATACACAGGCTAATTCAATTGCGAATAAACACTGTCTATAAAACCTGTTTAACACAGCTAAGACTGGTCGGCGACACCTGGCTGACTGAGCGAATTCAATTACACTTGACGGTTGTTCAAATTTATTTGGACATAACATTTTTACGTGCTTTGTACTGTCACGTGGTGCTTGGGAATAGATGACAATGATTTGATCTGTCGCATCACCTAGATTCACCTATAAAAATACAGGTGTATACAGATATCACGTATCTACAAAACAATCTAGGTTATATATATACAGCTTTAAAATACACACCTGTCAAACAGGTACATGCTTTAAATTCGAGAGAAGGATAGTTAAATATAGGGTAAACACACAGCTACAATATACATATATAGATATACCTTACTTCCACTTGTAATGTTTTTAGGTGAAAACAGACAGGTATAAATTCATGTATATACATTACATACAGTTGTGAATGCCAGTTTGGTGGGTGTTCTCTGAATAACAAAACTTCGGGATTAGTCGTGTTTTTCCGGAAGAAGTGCCTTATCTATATACCCTATAGATAGTGCTTGTGGATATTTTGGGAGTTTGGTCTAACTAGATGACTAGATAACTACTACCCAGTTCCCATAGTGACGTATATACAGGTGTTGTGTATATAGATATAGGTGTGGTCCCTCATAGTACAACTCGTACTAGTACCGGTACAACACGGAACACGGACCGGCTGCCTACAACACGGAACACGATTCGTTTTCCTCCGCATTTCTGGATTATTTTAACCAATCTGTGTGTATAAACGGATAACATTCCTGGATTATTATAAATATCATCATCATTTATTTGATTCTGATTTTTCCTGGAATTTTTTTACTCGTTCAATATCTTAGTGAATAAACGTATTTAACAAGTCCGATGAGGATTACTGCGCGTGCATTCCAAGGGAGAGCATCTGGAGTTAAATCAGGTTCAAACGTAAGTATTTGCTCTTAACATATTATGCGTATGTATATTATTTTGAATTTTGTCATTTCTGGAATTTATTTTCAGAATATGTGTGCTTTCGTTACAGCTCTCAAATTATTTACAATTTACATCGATACAGCATCAGTAGCTATGAATCTCCATATTTACTGAAACACGAAGTCGACGAATTCACGCGTTTTTGAAAAGATAGTAGATATATTTAACGTAAAAAAACTGACATTAAAACTGGCGATAATTGCATCCAATGTATGCCTCCCGTGTGTTCATGTTTTCCTATATTTGGCAAAATAAAGAAGATATCGACTTATAAAGAAAAGCATTTCCAAGTGTGATAGTAGACGTGGGAAGGATCAACTATCAATAAACGGGAGGAAGGCTGCATGTATTTTTACGACTGTTTTGGACCCCGTTCCAAGGACATAAGTAAATAGCTGACGGCAATAAACAGCTTTAAGACACTCACTGCATATGTTCTTGTAAATCTGTGGAGAGAAAGAGTTAAATATTTGTTGTTTGTCAGCTTATAAACCTCGTCCTAAGACATCTTAGCCGAGGTATGATATTAAGAATTCTCTTAAAGACATTGGAAATCACTACGTAGAGTCAATTATCAATATTAGCTAGTCATCGAACCCCGAAACAGAAACTCGAGATATGGAGGGTCGATAAATGGTATACTGTATTACGTCTAATGCAAAATAATGTAAATAAAACCCTATGGATTACTAAAATGAACACATTAATATAAAGAAGGAAGTTTCAAGCATCATTTACAGTTGCCTGCATGCTTAGAACTAGTTCAAAGGTTCAACATATAAAATATCGACACATCTGTAGGTCGATATACTGTAAATTCATTTATCCCCCTTATGTCTGTCACAGGACACCGGGGATGTATTGAACTGTCTAAAGAATTGTCGCTAACTGTTCACTTTCATTCTATCAATATTCGACAATTCAAAGGCATCCAGTTAGAAAAATACTTCGAGATATCAAACTGTTCGAGATATTTATATCGGCGTTTTGTTTTAAAACAATAAGATGTGGGTAACATAACATGGTAAACCTCTTACACAATGGAGAAGTGTAATGATTATTTCGACTTCGAGATATCGAAAGAAATTTCCATGACTTCAGGGCCCATATTCATGAAACCATTCTCATGCTCAAGCATGGATTTTGTGCTCAAGCCTAATTTCTTTTTCTAGTTTGAACTTAATAAATAGATCTTGTTTTGTCAATTATTTGGAAACATTTTTAAGAGACTTGAAGACAAATACTGTTTTCAATGTTTACATTTGACTTTTGAATCGTTTGACATAATTTAAGCGAGTTACAAGAAAGTTGGTTTGAGCACGGAATTAGATTAGAAGGTGTTATCTAAGTCCGCGGTTTGAGCACAGAATCCATGCTTGAGCATGAGAACGGTTTCATGAATACGGGCCCTGGTATACCCTAAAAGCGTTATTCGAACATTACCTTAAGGATGTATGCTATCTTAAATTGACATAATACAGCCTAAGCCAGTCTTTGTTGATTTTGGTTTGATTCTGAACACTATTTTAGAAAAGCAGTTATAAAATAAGACAAAATGCCGTAGAAATTGAATATTTGAAGAAGGTTAAGTCTAGAACCCCTGTAATTTTCCGTTTATTTCTTTTTATAACTGGAACACACGCTTTCCCCCTTCAAATTAAGGCAATCTAAACTGTCTGTTTCTATAATTAATCATATGCAGAAGTATGTATTTACTGGTGGTACATCAATTTAAAGCATGACTTTGGCTGTTGCTTCACATCACTCAGTAATTTCTGTATTAACACCTTCAAAGAGAAAAGTGAACGGCAAAGAAATTAATACAAATATATTTGTTTTTAATCTCAACTTGTTTTTATCAAATCTATTAAAACAAAACCTCCTTTGGGAGCATCAAAGCAAAAAAATATTAAATCTTATTTCATACATACATTATTTAGAAAAACAAACGAGCTTTATTATTTCTCATACCAATTCCTCTGCAGGGTGTTAGTTTATTCTATAGCCTTTGACGACTGTAGTCAGGTGTTACTATTTTCTGATTTACGACAAACCTGAATTGTACAGCTTACATTAAAAAATGAAGAAAGGAAAAGATCATTGTTCAATTTATCTTCAGGGTCCTGCTAACCTTAGTGTCTGTTACATAACTAAACTTCGTTAGAGTATATTAAATTGGAATTAATATCTGATTTGGGCATTGCTAATGTCGAGCTCCTAAGCTACGTTCCGGACTCAGGTTGATAAGCTTAAGTAACTGTAAGGATAACCCTACCATTGCTAAAAACTGTAAATTTATGTATCCACTTGCCATTGCTAAAAGCTGTAACTTTACGGATCCCCGTGCCATTGCTAAAAACTGTAACTTTAAGGATCCCCGTTCCATTGCTAAAAACTGTAAATGTACGGATCCCCGTACCATTGCTAAATACTGTAACTTTAAGGATCCTCGTACCCTGTGAAAAACTGTAACTTTACGGATCCCCGTACCATTGCCAAAAACTGTAACTTTACGGATCCCCGTACCATTGCTAACAGCTGTAACTTTACGGATCCCCGTACAATTGCTAAAAACTGTAACTTTAAGGATCCCGTACAATTGCTAAAAACTGTAAATTTAAGGATCCCCGTGCCATTGCTAAAATTGTAAGTTTACGGATCCCCGTACCATTGCTAAAAACTGTAACTTTACGGATCCCCGTACCATTGCTAAAAACTATAACTTTACGGATCTCCGTAACACTGTCAAAAACTTAAAAAATTTAAGGATCCCCGTGTCATTGCTAAAAGCTGTAACTTTACGGATCCCCGTACAATTGCTAAAAACTGTAACTTTAAGTATCCCCGTGTCATTGCTAAAAACTGTAAATGTAAGGATCCCCGTGCCATTGCTAAAATTGTAAGTTTACGGATCCCCGTACCGTTGCTAAAAACTGTAAATTTAAGGATCCCCGTACCATTGCTAAAAACTGTAACTTTAATTACACCGTACCATTGCTAAAAACTGTAACTTTACGGATCTCCGTAACACTGTCAAAAACTTAAAAAATTTAAGGATCCCCGTGTCATTGCTAAAAACTGTAAATGTAAGGATCCCCGTACCATTGCTAAATACTGTAACTTTAAGGACCCCGTTTCATTGCTAAAAACTGTTACTTTACGGATCCCCATACCATCGCTAAAAACTTTAACTTTCATTACACCGTACCATTGCTAAAATCTGTAACTTTACGGATCCCCATACCATTGCTAAAAACTATAACTTTACGGATCCCCGTACCAATGCTAAAAACTGTAAGTACCCTGTCAAAAACTGTGAATTTAAGGATCCCCGTGTCATTGCTAAAAGCTGTAACTTTACGGATCCCCATACCATTGCTAAAAACTGTAACTTTAAGGATCCCGTTTCATTGCTAAAAACTGTAAATTTATGTATCCCCGTACCATTGCTAAAAACTGTAACTTTAAGGATCCCCGTACCATTGCTAAAAGCTGTAAATTTACGGATCTCCGTGCCATTGCTAAAAACTGTAAGTTTACGGATCCCCGTACCATTGCTAAAAACTGTAAATGTAAGGATCCCCGTACCATTGCTAAAAACTGTAACTTAAAGGATCCCCGTACCATTGGTAAAAACTGTAACTTTACGTATCCCCGTACCATTTCTAAAAACTGTAACTTTACGTATCCCCGTTCCTTTCGTGTCATTGCTAAAAACTGTAAATGTAAGGATCCCCGTACCATTGCTAAAAGCTGTAAATTTACGGATCTCCGTGCCATTGCTAAAAACTGTAAGTTTACTGATCCCCGTACCATTGGTAAAAACTGTAACTTTACGTATCCCCGTACCATATCCCCATACCATTGCTAAAAACTGTAACTTTAAGAATCCCGTTTCATTGCTAAAAACTGTAAATCTATGTATCCCCGTACCATTGCTAAAAACTGTTACTTTAAGGATCCCCGTGTAATTGCTAAAAGCTGTAACTTTACGGATCCCCGTACCATTGCTAAAAACCGTAACTTTACGGATCCCCGTACCATTGCTAAAAACTGTAAATGTAAGGATCCCCGTACCATTGCTAAAAGCTGTAGCTTTAAGGATCCCCGTGCCATTGCTAAAAGCTGTAACTTTACGGATCCCCATACCATTGCTAAAAACTGTAACTTTAAGGATCCCGTTTCATTGCTAAAAACTGTAAATCTATGTATCCCCGTACCATTGCTAAAAACTGTTACTTTAAGGATCCCCGTGTAATTGCTAAAAGCTGTAACTTTACGGATCCCCGTACAATTGCTAAAAACTGTAACTTAACGGATCCCCGTGCCATTGCTAAAAACTGTAACTTTAAGGATCCCCGTACCGTTGCTAAAAACTGTAAATTTAAGGATCCCCGTGCCATTGCTAAAATTGTAAGTTTACGGATCCCCGTACCATTGCTAAAAACCGTAACTTTACGGATCCCCGTACCATTGCTAAGAGCTGTAACTTTACGGATCCCCGTACAATTGCTAAAAACTGTAACTTAACGGATCCCCGTTCCTTTGCTAAATACTGTAACTTTACGGATCCCCGTGCCATTGCTAAAAACTGTAAGTTTAAAGATCCCCGTACCATTGGTAAAAACTGTAACTTTACGTATCCCCGTACCATATCCCCATACCATTGCTAAAAACTGTAACTTTAAGAATCCCGTTTCATTGCTAAAAACTGTAAATCTATGTATCCCCGTACCATTGCTAAAAACTGTTACTTTAAGGATCCCCGTGTAATTGCTAAAAGCTGTAACTTTACGGATCCCCGTGCCATTGCTAAAAACTGTAACTTTACGGATCCCCGTACCATTGCCAAAAACTGTAACTTTACGGATCCCCGTACCATTGCCAAAAACTGTAACTTTACGGATCCCCGTACCATTGCTAAAACTGTAACTTTAAGGATCCCCGTACCG